TTTGGGTTTGCACACTTGGATGAAGATGGCAGTTTGATGAGATTATGTAATCATTCAGTGAAATGTTTTAATTTGTATGTGTGTGGGGGGGGTTTGTGTTCATGTGTGTGCAGATGCACACGAGCACTGAAAACTGGTGTGTGTGTGTGCATGCGTGCATGTGTACAGACACCTGTGGAAGCCAGAAGAGAGTATCAGAGCCTCCAGAGCTGAAGTTACAGTTAACTGTGAGTCACCCTATGTGGGAACCAAACTCTAGCTTAGTGATACAGTAGTAATTGCTTCTAAATTTTGTGCTATTTCTCGGTGAGACTTATTAGATAAGTTGGGTGGTATACTCAGACAATGTTGATGATGTAGCAGTTAAAGTGAGTAGTAACACATAGCATTTAGAACATACGCTATTTAGCGAAGAAATCAAGCTGACAAGGAACACACACATTTCCACAATAACATAAATTGAAAAAAAAATAAATCAACTAACAATTGTGTTTTGATACAAGCCTGTCTTAGTTTTATTTATTTATTTTTTTGCCGTGCCAAACTGTCCTTACAAAGAGCAACGTAGCAGAGGAACGGTTTCTTCAACCACTATTTAGTGTCACAGTCCATTATTTTAGGGAGTTGAGGCAGAAACTTGAAGCACCTGGTCATATTATGTCCGCAGTCAAGAGCAGAAAGAGAATGAATTCACACATGTCTATCTGTATGTAATCCCCTTTCTACACTTACACAGTCCAGGACTGAAACCAAGGGAATAGTACCACCCATAATGGGCTGACCTTCCCACCTGAATTAATATAATCAAGACAATTTCCCATAGACATGCCCACAGTCCATCCTGACCTAGAGAATTTCTTGTGTATGCTCTCTTCTCTTTTGACTGTAGGTTGTGTCAAGTTGACAATAAAAATGAAACACCACCAATTCTGTGGTGGACAGGATTCAAGATAAGATGCTGTTCCATCTGAAACCTGCTTCCTGATATTTAACCCATGTAGACTCCTCCTCCACACTGCAGAACCAACAGAACACGGCACAAATAATAGCACTTATCACTGAAACTGGGCAACAGAAAGTCTTCAGCTTATGTCTTAAGGGTTTCGTGGCAGCCTCTCATTCAGAGAGGGACCAGGTCCCATTTTAAGAACACTCACACAAGCTGTGGTGATGCCCTCATAGCGAGGAATGGGGACTCTTGCCAACAACCGCGTGCTTGCTTGGAAGCAGCATCTGCAGACGTCAGATGGCTGCAGGTGGTGATCAGACTCTGAGCCAGATCCAGTCAGCTCAAACAGTCTCCATGTCTGATCCCGAGAAATTGGACCAGGAACTAGAGTAAAGAGCAGCCAAGTTCAGGGAAAGCTGTTAGGCGGAAACAGATGCCTAATGCAACATGCTTGCACCTGTCTGACGAAATAATAGATGTGCAGTGATGGTAAGAAGAACCCATACCAACTGAGGGAGGGGTATTAGCCACATCTATGACAAGCTTTTGAAGAAAATATGAGGAAATCTATTAGATTGGACTTTTAGTGTGCACGCCTTAGGCAGTGCTAGCCCTTTGGGTCTGTGGGTCCTACATCTGTGAGTTCAAGCAATCTTAGACACAGAATATTTGAAATTATGTGCTTGGATGCAGTCAGCTGTGTCCTCATTGTTCCCTGAGCAAGCCAAGCAGGAATCATTTATATGGCATTTGCACTGTACTATATCACTAGAGATATAGAGATCTTTTAAAGTATTTGGGTGGTGAGCATTGGTTACCTGTCTATACAACACCATTTTATACATGAGACTTCAGCGTCCATAGATATTGATACTTGACAGGGGTCATGGGACACATCTCCCAAAGGTACTGGGGAATGAAGGAGCGCTTTCTAGAATTTCAAGTATTATATAATTAAGAATGAAAATGATAAAGAAAGACAGAATGTCTAGTCCATTTCTCACAGGGCTTCAGAGCTCGGCTGCTGTAACTGAAGCCTCCAGGGAAGGAATTGGCTCTGATAGCTAAATAATTTGTGTCGAAGAGAAGACAGATACCAGGGTATCATCTCACAGCTGGTGAAATCAAGTGTGTAAGTGACAAGGCCTTAAATATATTGTATTACAACATCAAACACAGTTCAGAGTGAAATCAATATAGTTGTGCTGCCCCACTGTGAAATTATATGAAATCACACCCAGCAGTGGTCCATTCAGACAACACACTGCTATCATACCCCTGGCAGTGCTATATGTACACAATGCCAGCTACTGCAAAGAAAGCCTCTGGCTTAATAACATTTAATATAGGAACAAGATTTGTGGGAAAAATGATTTAGTTCTTAAGATTACCTTAAAAGATGCCGGGCGTTGGTGGTGCACGCCTTTAATCCCAGCACTCGGGAGGCAGAGGCAGGCGGATCTCTGTGAGTTTGAGGCCAGCCTGGTCTACAGATAGAGTCACAGGACAGGCTCCAAAACTACACAGAGAAACCCTGTCTCGAAAAACAAAAACAAAACAAAATTACCTTAAAAGAATAAAATATTCAGAGTTGAGAATACTGTGACATCTCAGGCCACAGTCTCTCATATGAGACAGGGAAGGACTACACATGCCCTAAAATTAAACACTTACTCATGGTAAGATTAATAACATGAGGGATGGGAAAGCAGCTTAAGCTATTCAAGTGTTCACTTTGCATGCATGGTTTGATCTCTCAGAACCCAGGTAAACAAAGATGGGTATGGTGGCAGGCACTTGTAATCCTAGCACCAAGGGGTGGAAACAGGTAGGTCTAGGAATTTACAGGTGAGGCAGCCCAACTAAATTGCTGAGTGCCTGGTCAATGGGAGGTCCTGTCACACAAAAAAACAAGATAGACAGGATCCTGAGGAGTGACAGCTGTCCTCCACATGCATGTACACACATGTACACAGGTTCTGTCATATACATATGTGCACCTGTATACACAGGAACACACACACACACTACACACACACACACACACACACACACACACACACACACACACACACGACACTGTACTACCACTACCAGACAAGTCATGAATTCCAAATCTCATACAAAGTCAGATAAGAAGTCAAATGGTACAGATCATGTATGTCTGGGCTGTGTGAATGTGTAATAGATTCAGTTATCCTTTTAGACCTGATGTAGTTTTTCCTTTTAACACCATCCTTCCATTCTCCAGATGTCTACCACGCCTTCCGAGATACTGGTGCTCTCACAGCAGCTCACCTGAAACTTACTATGTGCTGCTTAGTTTTATTTGTCAACTTGACACAATCTAGAGTCTCAGTGAGGGATTGCCTAAATCAGCTAGGCCAGTGGACATGTCTGGGGGAGACTGTGTTGGTCCTCTCAACTGAGATGGGAAAACCTGCCCACTGCGGGTTACATCGTTGCCTAGAAAGGAGATTCTGAGTTTTGCAAGAGTGGAGAAAGTGAGTTGTGCAGTAGCATGCATGCATTAACTCATTGCTCCCCACTCACGACTGTGGTTGTCATGTGACTAGCTGCTTCAAGCTCCCGATGCCTTGATTTCCCCTCCATGGTGGACTATAACCTGGAAGAGGGAGCCAAGTAAGCCCTTTCTTCTTAAGTTGGTTCTGTCAGGCTGCTTTATTACAGCAACAGGAAAGAAAGATAAGATAACCTTAAACTTGTGATCTTCCTACCTTTATCTTCTGAGAGCTGAGATTATAAACATGTCATCACATCCATTTTCTGCTGTGCATTGTGGTGGGGCTTGAACCTGGGCTTCCAGTACCCTAGGCAGGCACTTTACTCCGAGTTACATATCATATTCAACCCACAGAACTAAGGCGATTCTCCCGCCTCAGCCTCCTGAGTTCTGGGATGATAGGCATGACCCACCACACTCAGTTTGCAAACTTTTTCTCAGTCCCCTGAAAGACTGTTTTGAAACCCTGCAGCCATCCTGACCGTCATCCCTGATACAGGCCCCTCTTCCGTGACCTCCTCTTTGGCAGCTTGGGCTGCGTGTCACCAGTACCTAGTCTTTGATGGCACCAGGTGTTATGTGGGCCCTACCTGGAGCAGCTGTCAATCTGGAGGTTGCCTGCCTACTCCAGCAGCTTCCTTCCTTCCAGGCCCCAGCAGGACTCTGCAGGGCAACTCTGCTGTGGCTTCTCACACTACTCCACCCAACACGTTCCGAGACAATTATTCCTTGGCCTTATTCTTTTAGGATTCTAAGAAACAGCTTCCACGGGTCTCCGCTTCTTATTTCCTAACGAAGACCCAGATTTTTCATGAATTCTTTCCTTTATTAATTTTGCATCAACTGTCAAAACATTGTAATTCACGGCATCGGAGCACAGTTTAACGATGGACATGTGCTTTGGTCTGCTTGAGCCTCTCTCTGGGTTTCATTCCCAGAAACCCCAGAATGAAATCAAAATGCAGTTCGGCAGCGAGACTCACGGGCATTTTTATTTCTTGTGTGGGAAGAGGTTTCAGTGCAACTACAATGACTCGCCCTCTCCAAGAACCTGCTGAGTGCCTGAGCTAGGAAAGTTGTATGTGTGCTGAGCCTGGTGGCGCAGCTGTAATCTCAGCTCGATGGGAGGCTGAGGCACAAGGATCTCAAGTTCAAAGCCTGCCTGAAAAACTTACGGAGACACAATTTTAAAATTTAAAAAGCTAAGAAACAAAGGACTGAAGATATAGTTCAGTGGTAGGTACTACCCTAGCATCTCTCTCTCTCTCTCTCTCTCTCTCTCTCTCTCTCTCTCTCTCTCTCTCTCTCTCTCTCTCTCACACACACACACACACACTTATGTGGGTCACCTCATTTCATCATTCAATGAGCCCAAGAACCATTTCAGTGGTAAGATCCGGTCACTGGAAATTAGCACATGTCAAATGGTTCAACAACACCTGGCAAGCCACTCTGGCTGTTACAGATGGGCACATTTACCAAGGATCTCTTTTTAGGGAGTTCCTGTGCCACAAAAGCTACACTTACCTGCACAGGGACTCGCTGCAAAGCCCACTCTCTTCCGAGCTCTGTCAAAGACCACGTAGAAGCCCTCCATCACGGTAGCACCAATCACCAGTGCATTTGTGGAAGAGGAGATACCAAAACGGTAGCATTGATAATTGAGACCAGCTCCCATCATGGGCTGAATGTAGAGCTGTTTGTTGAAGAACCAAGGGAAAGACACAGAACAAAGAACGGATTAGACAAGAGCCTAAAACTGGAGGTCCCACTCTGCTCAGAGCCCCCCAAAGGTGAAGGGAGACAAAATGACATCTGGAACATGAGATCAAAAGTGTCTCAAAACAGGCCCTGCACCCCCACCAGGGCAGCGCAACAGAACCAACACTGTTAGTGGAGATATGGGTGAGCCAGCCCCAAAGTTGTGAGCATGGGAGAAATGTCCCCATTTCTCATCTATCTTGTGGTGGTGTGGGTGGGGGAGTGAAACCTTTCTTCCCCCCTCCCTACCAATGCTTGAGGCACATGGTAGAGCTGGCCCTGTGGTTATAAGAGCGGGAGAGCCATCCCTGACCCCCCACCAGCTGCAACACGCAGGAGAGCAGGCTCTGCACCTCGATAGGGCAGCACAATTGAGCCACCTGTTAGCTCAGGTGTAGGTGAGCCAGCCCCAAAATTGTGACCATAAGACAGCTTTCCCCATTTCCCATCTGGCAGACCAACCCTACAGCTGTCCAGGGCCAGAACCAGGGTTATGACTTGGCCTGCCCCATAACCCACCCCATCTATGATCTGCTGGAGCACATGAAGGGACCTGACCCACAGACCCTTCATGCTGCAGGATCTCCACAACATAGGGCAGCAGTGGGATTTCCAGGAGGAGTCCTAGTCGGGTCCCAGCATAGAACGTGTAGTGGAGACCAGGGGCCTTGAACCAGACCTATGACACTTTTCAATGAACACTTGCAAGTAGAGATGTATGGACAAAGGGGAATATGGCGTGACTCATTATGTCACACTGCAGCTTCCATGATGAGATTTTTCAATTCCTTCCCTTTTTTCCTCACTTTCTTTTCTTTTTCTTAAATTTTATTTTGGACGGTTTTGGGACGGAGAATGAACGGGATCAAGGAACGTGATGTGAAAAACATAGAATAAATACAAAAAAAAGAAGAAAAATGTGTCTCAATAGACTTTATTATTTTTAAAGATTTCCGTGTTTTCCTCTCCCTTCCTCTTCATGCCCTCTCTTTCTCTCAGCTTCCTCACCCCCCCCATGCTCCCAATCAGTTGAGTAGGGGAAAGAATAGAGGAGAGAAGGATGAGAGATACCATAATATAAGGAGCCACTATAGATTTGAAGGGAGATCTGGTACTAGTGAGATGTCCAGAGGCCTACAAGGATGACACCAGCCGGCAATCTAACCAATACTGGAGAGGCTGCCTTAAATGCCCTTCCCTGATAACGTGATTGACAACTTCCCTGTGTGCCATCCTAGAGCCTTCATCCAGTGGTTGAAGGAAGCAGAGACAGACACCCACAGCTAAACACTGAACCCAGCTGCAGAGAGGGAGGAGTGAGAAGCAAAAGGATTATGAAACCCACAGGAATAGCTGACCTGAATGAGGGGGGAGCTCATAGACCCCCTGAGAGGCCAGCATGGGACTGATCCAGATCCTCTGAACGTGGGTGTCAGTGAGGAGGCCTCAGCATCCTTTGGGGCCTCAGGCAATATATCAGCATTTAGCCCTGTCATCCAGATGGACTTTGGGAGCCCATTTCACGTGGAGGAATGCTGTCTCTGCCTGGACACATGGGGGAGGGCCTAGGCCCTGCCCCAGATCATATGACAGACTTTGGAGATCCCCCATGAAGGGCCTCACCCTCTTTGGAGAGTGGAGTGGGGACTGGAGGAGGGGATGGGGGAGGGCTGAAAAGGGGGTGGGAGAGGAGGGGAGGGAGAGGGAGCTGGGTTTGATGTGTGAAGCAAACTTGTTTCTAATTTAAATTAAAGAAAAAAAGAAACAACAAAAAAAATTTTCATGTTTAATTTCAGTTGAGCGTATTTGTGCCTGTGTCTGAGTGTGTGTTTGTGTGTATGAATGTAGTCAACTTGCACTATCAGACTACCTGTCAGCAAGTACTTCCTCACTTCTTCCCCTCACGTCGGAGGACCTTGTCCTAGAATAGTGCCTTGGGAAATGTGTGTTAACTGAATGTGTGGGCAGAAGCTTGGCCAGATTTAAATAGGGCACACAACTTCTAGAGAGGACCCACTTAAATCAGGGGAAGGTTTCCACAGTAACACCTGGACCTAAGGCTTTGGAGGTCGTCCAAGTATGCGCAGAATGCACCTCTCACCACCTCTGAAAGAACGAACTACACAGAAGCAGAGAATGTGCATCAAATCTGAAACAACTGACAGGCACGAATAAGTGGCTGGATGCCATCCAGAATGTGTTTGCGTCTTTTAGTTGGTCTTTTGTGTGTGTGTGTGTCTCTTGCAGGAAGAACCCAGATAAGGGGCTTGGGAGACAAAAGCAGGCAAACTTGAGTATAAGGCTAGTCTGGCATACCTAGTGAGACACTGCCTAAAATAAATTATTAAAGATTTACAGACCATACATTTTGTAACCTGTGAGACACTTAATCTTGCTGAATCCCAGAAAAAAAAACATATTTGCCTACCTTAAACAAAAGTAGCATAAACAGACAACTGGCAGTATTTTGACTGAGAGTAAGCACTTTCTCAAGGGCATATGAAGAAACTCAGAATTTCCTGTTGGGCTAGAGGATGCTTTGAATAAAAAAAAAGTGTGGGGGGGAGGTGGAGTGGGATGTATCCTTAGCCCTAGAATCTAGATCTACTTCAGGTTCCTTTGGGTGACATCAGGGAGGAAAAAGGACTAAGACTCCAGGGCTGTGTGGGGCTCTTTCCTCTCAGAACTCTACTGTCATCCATGCTATCTGATGATGGAAATGCCACTAACATGGCACCAGACTCCAAAACATCCCAGACGCAAGCCAAGACAGGCCCAACCCATTCGCTGCTGACCAGGGCCATATGAGGCAGACTGAACGAGACCAGCAGACCTGCAGAATCATGGATAGGCAGCAGAGTGGTGGCATCATTGTGGCCTAGTCATGTATAAAATCTGATTTTGTGAGTTACGTGTGAAAAATAAGGAGAAAAACACAAATCTAAGTTTGTACCTGTGGCAGAATGGTGATACGGAAGGAGCGACTGGAGTTCTCATCTCTCAGGTAGATAGAGATCTTAGGGAAATATGCCCATGGCGTTTCAGAATTTGTCCAACATGCCAGCTGGGCTCCTGTCCAGAAGCCATCAGAAAACTCTGGAATCTAGACAAAACAGATCCTGTGAGAATCAGGGACTAGCCTGGTACATAACAGGAAACAGCTCTCTACTTTCCTGGTCCCAGCTCAAGACGCCCACGGGAATAAACAACATCTCATTTGGACAGAGTGACAGGGACATCAGTCTTCTGGAAGAGTGATGGTGATGACACAATAATAATTATTAGAACTGCTAAGACAACCAGATCACTTCCTGGGATTAGGCACTGCTAAAACACTTGGCAAATGACGATGTTAGCCTTCCAAATCGCCAACCTGTGTGGTAATGTTCCCTTGCGCATTACTAGGAAGGGCACCAAAGCATAAAGACATATGACAACTTCCTCAAGGCCATAGGGCAACAAGCCTTTAGAAGAAAGAAACTCTAAAAGTATTCATTAAAGTTGCAACTTAGGCTTTTTGTCTGAATTGTAAGAGAGTGGGCTACTCCTGTTGCAATTCAGGTTACAGTTCGTTATAGCAAACAAATGGTAGTGGTGGGAGCAACTAGCTACATTGTATTCACAGTTGAGAGCAGAGAGAAACTGGCTTGTGCTGTCTGACTACCTTCCCCCAGGTTTCTCTTCCCTTACATAGTTCAGGCCCTGGCTAGGGAAGGGTGACACCCACAATGGGCTGGGTATTTCATATCAATGAAAACAATCTAGATAATCCTCATAGACATACCCACAGGCCAACCTGATTTAGGTAATTATTCAACTGCAATTCTCTTCCTATGTCTACACTGTGTCAATATGACTGTTAAAACTACTCATCACAGTGGCCTCCTAGGCTCCCCAGAGGCGTTGCCTGCTGCTGGACTCCAGGAAGTCTCCCTGTCTCCTGACTTAACACTAAAACACTGTTCCAGCCCTCTCTCACTTGGCCTTTCCCTGGGGAAGTTCAAGGTAACAAATCTTGCTTCTTGGTGATGAATGACCCTGTACTTGGACCTAGAACTTCTCAGGACAGGATCCCCTGACTGTGCCTGTGTATGTATCACTATGTGGGCCCAACACCTACACAAAGACAACACTGAAGAACGTGGGAAAAAATGAGTAGGTCATCTGTGTCTCCTCTCATCAAGAAGGGAAGGCGGTGTCACCCACCCACTTCTACCTGCAGGGGAACAAGCAGGCTCCTCAGACTTGTGCTGTCTCAGCCTTGGGTCCTGGGCTGTGCCCGAGACACACGTTGGTAGAAGGAATGTGTCTGACAGAGATATGGGACATGTGGCCAAGGGGGTGGACTTCCCTAGCAAGATGCTCCAGGCAGGGAGTGAGAGAAAGGTGGTGGGTAGAGCCACAGCAAAGGTGTTGACAGGGAACCTGCCTACTGGGTGGGTGCCAGTGGCAGACAGAGAGGCGAGAGGAGGCCAGGAGGGAATCAAGAGCGGCTGTGAAACAGTCAAAGTCTGCACCCCATTTACCAAGGTTTGTACCCGGAAGCACTGCAGGTGTGACCAAGTGGACATGTGTGCAGCTCATCTGTGCCCTGAGTTCTCTAAGCTGGCAAGAATGGATATGTACTCTAGAACCACTAGCAGATGGTGATGGGGGATGACATTATGAGATTGGGAGAAGCCGGGTCCAGGAGCCAGTCCTGAGAAACAGGTGACACCTACACCCCGAATGTCAGGTGGGTGCTGTGTCCATGCTAGGTGCCACCACCCACTCTCTGGGGGGGCAGGAAGCTCCATGTTAATCCTCCCACACAGTAATGGTAGAGTTGTAAGGATTCTAATGCCAGTGCTAATATACTTCCGTCTTTCCCAGAAGTGATGGATCACCAATAGGTATCATAGGACCCTTTCCCTGATGAACTAATCAGGATGGAGGATTTATCATCTTGCTGGATTTGAAAAAGGTAAGAGTGCCTGGGTCTCTCGGGAGTGCCCAGTATTTCAGGGAAGCATATAGCCAGCTCCACTGTGTAATGAAGAATGAGTTCCAGAGAGGCCAGGCAAGTTTCAAGATGATATAGATGAGATCTGGAGGTATATTTTCTGTTCCTGAAAATATGTTCAGCAATCTCCCCAGGGGCTGCTGTATTCCAGCCTCAGGTCAGTTTTCAAGTTGGAAGACACTTTGTGTAGATCCACTTTGATGGCATACAGCCAGGGAGGAGCCAGGGAGATGCCAGAGCTGGGATGGATGGAATTTGGGGCTCCAGAAGATTCCTTTCATACACAGACCTAGAAACCATTCCTTTCTACACCCTGCCTGAGCAACAAAACAGAGGGACAGAGCTCCCTGCTTAATTAGGAAAAAGACTCAGGCCAAGAGCATGGGCTTCTAAGAGCCCTGTAGGTAAAGGGGGACTAACACCAAGGCCCTGCACTGTAAGGCAAAGGATACACACTACTAGAATATGCCCTACCCAAGGTTGACAATCTCCTGCCTCTCCTCCCTGGTGCAGGTGCTGAGTGAAATCATGGGATAATTTTAGATACAGCAAACAAATGCTGTAAGCTCCTTGCCTCTGCCTCGTGGTTTGCTTAAGTCATCAGATGCTGAGATGAACTCAAGGTACGAACCCCTCACCCCTCCACTCACCTACCCAGGCTCATGTGAGGGCTGGCTCTGGCTCGCTGGCTGAACACCTGACACTCCTGTGGTCCCTGTGACTCTTCTAAATCCTCCAGAGCTCAGAATCTAGAGCCTGGAGGCACTCACACTACTCCCTCAGAGGACACACTTATATTTAAGCACTGGGCATATGCTCCTTATTTTAAGTAGGGTCTGATTTTAAGCAAGCATTCTAACTTTACAGCATGGAAAGACTGACTTGGCATTTTTTGGGGGTGTAGCAGCTGTTGGCAAAGATATGGATTTGTTCTGATTTTGACATGGCTGCTCGGGACCACTGCCTGACACTGGAAACTAAAACCTGTGCACATTTTCTTGCAGGCTGCTCTTCCCATGTGGACACAGGTTTCGCGATTTTGAGACAGAATAACCAAAGCCCCCCCCTGCCCCCTTTGTTCCTGAATTTCTGCTGGAATCTGACACAGGGCCATGATTACTTGTTTTCCTGTCAGTGGCTGGGATTTGGCCATTTTGGTCTCACTCCAGCCTATTGCCAGCATCACATATAGGCTCTGGGCCCAACATGCTCATGCTTGGTCTTCTAGTGAGGACCTTGAGGAGTAGACATGAGAAAGACAAGGGGCGCCACATGTCTCTGGGCACAGGGAGGTGTTAACTGTAAAAACCAGTTACAAAATCTGTTCTTATTAAGTTTGTATTTTAAATACAACTCTGATGTTCATTTTCCTGTAAAGAAGCAAAGATTTGGGGACAGAGCAATTTGACTCTTTAGTTAGTAGCTGATGAACTATCCCTTGCTGCTCTGCCTGTCTTGAGCAAATCAATTATCAGTCTAGCAGCCCTGCCCTTAGCTGGTATCAGCCACACAGAACACATTCCACAGATGCCTTCAGACCACGCATGGGATGGCAGGGGCTGCCCACTACTAAAGACACCGCCTAAGCCAGGGCTGTTTGAAACATTTACTACCAGACTTTTTGTTGTGACAAAGCCTGGATGAAGTCTAGCCCTAGATGATCCTGTAACCATGTCCACCTTAGCCAGGCAGGGAGTCGTTCTCCTGGTAGTCTAGAAAAGGTATTGTTTGGACAGGTGCTAAGAGGCAAGGCTATGATTGGTCCAAACAAATGGCTGCGATTGGTTCAGAGAAAACGTCTGTTAGTGGTCAGGCAAATGCTATGATTGGCCTGAATACCCCTTCCTGAGCTGTGCAGGCAGGCTGTTCCTGTTAAGGTTTACACAGGCAGTCAGCTGGAAGACCCACTCTGGGGCTGCCTCCCCTGGTGTTGCAGCCTTGGTCTCAATAAAAGGCCTCTTCCTAGAAGGTCTTTTCTTTCACACTTTTAGAAATGTGGGCCAAGCTAACATGGAGAAACAGCAGCAGAGGGCAGCACTAGCGACAGCAGGGACGGCTGGGCATGCTGTGTAAGCTGAAAGGAAACCGATGGCTTCAGGAGAGAAGTGCTGGGTATGGTGGCCTCCCAAGTAGCCCTTGATAGGCCATCCAGCCTAGCAGCCAAGCTATGAGAGAGTTCTCGATGGGAGAAGGGTAGAGATAGGCACAGGTAACAGATAAGGATGACAGATGTAAATATATAGAGAGAACCCATCTCAATAGCCTCCCTGAGGGTTCCCTGCTACCAAATAGAGGAAACTGGATGGGACCTAGTTTTACTTGGTATGTACTGAATATGGAGTGTTCCTCCATTTGCTGGACTTCTGGGAAGTGATTCTGTCCTGGGGATCTGACCTAGCTGACATTACTTCCTTGAGGGATTCAGAATATCACGGCATCGTGGGGAGGTCATTAAGGCGGGAGGTGCAGTCCAGCTGGAAGACAACACCTGGAGAAGAGGATCTAGAGCTTTATCTTATCCCTGGTCCTCTCACGTATGTATTCCCTTTATCTGTGTCTCTCTCTGCTCTGCTTCAATTCCCTCTCCATGAAGGACTGGCGCCTCTGAAACCATGAACAACACAAATCCTCCTGTAAGGCATCATCGTGTCCTAGCCATGGGCAGGTAACTAATAAACACACACCTGTTGACGCCCAATGCTGGATAGACTGATATTTTTTTTCATGTGTGTATGTGATATGAATGAGTGAAAGCATGCATGCTTACATGTGTGTGCTCATATGTGCAGGTATAATTCAAGTGTGTATACATGTGTTTTGCTGGTTAGTTTTATGTCAACTTCACACAAACATAAACATATCTGAGAAGGACCTATAACTGATTGGCCTGTGGGCAAGCCTGTGGCACATTTTTTTCAGTTGATGATTGACATAGGAGGGTCAAGTTCACCATCAGTAGGACCACCCCGGGGCAGGTGATTCTGGGTGCTATAAGAAAGCAGGCTGAACTAAGCAATAGTAGAGAGACTACCTTAAATGCCCCTCCCTGATAATGAGTTCGACTACTTCCTTATATGCCATCCTAGAACCTTCAACCAATGACTGATGGAAGCAGAGGCAGACACCCACAGCTAAACACTGAACTGAACTCCTGGAACCTAGGGACCGAGAGGGAGGACTGATGAGCAAAGGGGTCAAGACCAGGCTGGTGAAACCCACAGAAACAGCTGACCTGAACAAGGGGGAGCTCTTGGACCCCAGACTGATGGCTGGGAGGCCAGCATGGAACTGATCCAGATCCCCTGAATGTGGGTGTCAGTGAGGAAGCCTAGGCAATCTATGGAGCCTTGGGTAGTAGATCAGTATTTATCCCTGGCATACAAATGGACTTTAGGTGCCCATCCCACAATGAGGGATGCTCTCTCAGCCTGGACTCTTGGGGGAGAGCCTAGGTCCTGCCCTGAACAAAATGACAGACTCTGGAGATCCTCCACTGAGGGCCTTACCCTCCCTGGGGAATGGAGTGGGGATTAGATGGGGGTTTGGGGGGTTGGTGGGAGAGTGTGGGAGGAGGGCAGGGAGAGGAAGCTGGGATTGACATGTGAAGCAACCTTGTTTCTAATTTAAATAAAAAAGCAAAAAAGAAAGAAAGAAAGCAGGCCGAGAAAGCCATGGGTAACAAGCCAGTAAGTAGCACTTCTCCATGACTTCTCCATCGGCTCCTGCTCCCATGTTTCTGCCATGAGTTCCTGCCCTGACTTCTCTCAGTGATGGATCGTAACCTGAAAGACATAAGCTAAAGTAAAACTTTCCTTCCCCAAGTTTCTTTTGGTCTTGTTGTTTTGTTTTTTGTGTTTGTTTGTTTGTTTTTGTTTTTCAAGACAGGGTTTCTCTGTGTTGTTTTGGAGCCTGTCCTGGAACCCACTCTGTAGACTAGGCTGGTCTCGAACTCACAGAGATCCACCTGCCTCTGCCTCCCGAGTGCTGGGATTAAAGGCATGCGCTACCAACGCCCGGGTGGTCTTGCTGTTTTATCACAGCAACAAAAACCCTAAGATATGTGTGGAGGCCTGAAGTTAACATGAGTGCCTTCTTTCAGTAGCTCTTCACTCTGTTGAGGCAGGGTCTCTTGCTGAACACAGAGCTCACCAATTCCAGCTTGTCTAGCTAGCCAGCCTGCTCTGAGGATCCTGCCTCTGCCTCTGCAGAAATACAGGGAGCCACCATGCTTGCCTGCTCTGACATGGATTCTGGGGCTCCGAATCCCAGTCACCGTGCTTACACGGCAGGTGCTTTATGAACCAAGCCATCTCCCTTGCCCTGGACAGATGACTTTGGTCTATACTGTTGTTCTTTACTGACTGAAAAGTTGAGATGATGCTGGGAGAAACAGTAGGCAAGCCTCAAAAGCTATGTGCTGTTTTTCATGGCTGGTCTTGGCTGTCAGCTGTCAGCCATTGTTGGTTTACTGTGACTCAACCTAATAAATCATATATATTCATTCTACCAGTTCTGTTTCAGTGGAGAACCCTGACTAATACACTGTTCTCAACCAGGAAATATCTATATTTCAGGATGTGGCCACCAAACAAATGTCACTTTGGCCAACTGGCTTGTTTTCTATACAATGTCTAGACGCCATTCCGGTTTGGATGAAGACCAAAGAGGGAACAGATTTGGGGCGTATTAGTTTTGTTTTAAAGGACACAAATGCAGTTGTGCTTTCCTGTTACACTAGCACACAGTCATGTGCTAGATACGTTTTTATATCAGTGACAGCATGAGGAGACAGTGGTGGCTCAAGATCAGAATGGAGGGGGGGGTCATTCCTCTCTGTCTGAGACATCACAGCCATTGTGTCATCACAGCCCAGTGCTTCAGCCACAGGTCTGTGGTGATGCTGGTGCGAGCATACCTACTGTACTGACAGCTGTGTAAAAGCAGAGTGACATGACCCCAGTACAGAGTGACAGCAAACAGCCGTGTGGTTGCTTACGCATTGGCGTACCAGGCTTTCCATGGTTATTTTGTGTACTTCTGTTTATAATGTTTACTGCAAAGCCATATGCTGTGCTACACGTCAGCAGCTTCAAATGTAGTGGGTTTTTTTGGTTTCAATTAGGTTTTTAGATTTTATTATTATTGTGGGAGGGAACACACATGTGGCATAGCATCCATGTAGATGGAGTTCGTTCTTTCTTTCCACCTTTACATGGGTTCTGGGGATCCAACTCAAGATGTCAGACTTGAATGACAAGCACCTTTACCCAGTGAGCCATCGTATCCACCCTTCTGTCTGGTGATTGGCCCATATCACCCAGTTGTGCAAGTACTCCCCCCATGATGTCTGCATAACATGAATATCACTTGGCGATACTGTCCCCAGACCATATTTAAGGAGCGCATGATGTAGTCACACTGCAGACGAGTTTTTAACCTCAGATTAAAAATGAATTCTTGTGCCAACTTAATAATTACTTAAAACACTGGAAATATTGCACACTCAGAACCAAACCCTCTCAAGCTGACAGGAGGGTATTGCTTGTATCGGATAGATTCATATCAAAAGGTAACCTCACAAGTGAACTTCGCAAGCAACCCGCTCCTTAAAGTCTTCAGAGCACTAAGTAATGGTCCAGAGACTTACAACACACAGCTGTGTTCTAGAAGAATTCCCAAGCACCTTGGGACTCACCAGAGATGTGCGTGCCACAGCTTCCACCACGGCATCAAACACCTTCTGGGGCAGGCGCAGGAGCGTGGTGCCGCTGTCCACGATGGCCTTGTCCGCATTATACTGAAACAGGAGAGGAAAAATCATGGAGCATGGTTGCATTTCTCACCCACACACTGTGACCCCCTTTCTGTCACTTGTGTCTGTCATGGACAACTTCGTGCAGTCACAGTATCTCAGCGGTGTCACTTGTGTCTGTCATGGACAACTTCGTGCAGTCACAGTATCTCAGCGGTGACTATGAGTCATTTTATCTCCAGGGGCCAACCATGCCAGTGTTTCCACCCTATAGATGAGGAATCTGAGGCACAAGAAAGGGACAGGACCACAACCCAGAGTTCCCAGGCAGGGCTTTTTGCCTTCTTGGAGTTTCCCAAGTTGCTCTTCCCTCGTGCTAGGCAGAGGGATGGGCCACTGGACTTTAGAGATTAAAATGACCCTTTTAAAAGCCACTTCTACATACTGTTCAATATCCACTATTTTCTATTATTTGACCGTTAGAAAAAGAGAAGGACAACTCTTGATGGGCACCCATATTTGTATCTGGGAAGGAAATTTAACAACACCACGCACATAACACACACTTTGCACCCTATTTTATATGACGCAAGCCTGGAGACTTCAGTGATAACTAAGGGCCTTTGACAGTACAGAAGTGTGTACCTGGGACCCAACTCTATAGCACTGGGGTAGACCAACATTTATTAGAGGCGTTTGCGATCATGAGAATTCAGGGCAGTGTGGAAACAGGTGAGAGTCCACAAGAGGGGAAGTGCTATAGGGAGCTATACAGTCACTGATTGGTGGGCTTCATAAGCCACTCTAAAACTGGCACACAGGACTGAGGCCTCCTCAAACTGTCATAATTTTAATACCATAAAGTAAAAGAAGCCAAATGCAGTGTGAGACTGGGTGTGTGGCTAATGCGACAAGCATGTGTGTCTTCCTAGTGGCATTGTCAAGCTGCTGTGCCTTTAGGAGTATTAAGTTGTGTGTGTACGTGTGTGTGCGGATTGTTTAAGGAGGATAAAGCTGGTCAAGATGACTGGTGAAGCTGAAAATTAACTTGGACACTGTCCTCAATACTCAGCACTTCATATTAGTTTTTCCAGAGGCTACAGTGTGTGTGTGTGTGTGTGTGTGTGTGTGTGTGTGTGTGTGTGTGTGTGTGTGTGTGTGTGTGCGCGTGCGTGCGTGCACATGTAATTTACTGATTTGAACTCATCATAGAAAAAGACCAGGTCTTCCTGTAAGGATCTACTGAGCTACCCTGTAATATGATGCACCTTATGAGTTCATTCCCAGAGCCCAGTTAAATACTGAGTCTTCTCCAGCACCTACAGGCAGAACCCAATAGGAATGGAAGATACTCACCTCTCTGCAGTCCAGGTTGAGGCTCTGGCCTCCAATTTCCAATTTCAGGATCTCTATCTGATAGTACCATTCCTCTTTAATTGGGGTATACCAGATGTCTCCTTTATACAAACTTGGTTCTATCCCACCTAGGACCTGAGAAGAAAAACAGTTACAAATGTAAGAGGCAAAAACTATGTGGCGACATCAGTAGCTTCCACACAGAAGCATTTATTTAGGGTACAACACCATTCAAAATAGCACCTTCACTTTATTCTGATGGTCTACAGCTAATGGTGATGCTTGAAAATTCCCCATTTATAGAAGGCTTTGGGGGGGAGGGTTGGCCATGTCCTACAATATTTTGTTATGATACTTCCCTCAAACAAATGCCGTAGGGTAGTTAACCATCCTGACTGGCATGGATTTACTGTTCCAGAAGCCAGAGATGAGGGGAAAAGACCACAAGATTTCCTGATTTAAAACAATGTCACTTCACAGTCCTAGGCTACCCTGTCCCTCCAGAAAGAGACAACAGAAATACTTGGGGCAGGTGGACTGTTGTTAGCAGAAGGCAATGGATGATGCTCTGCAGCAAGAACAGGGACTAGACACACCTCCCAAAGAGGGGCCCTTCTTATCTTTGGTACTCTGACTTCCTCAGCAGGGAAGGTTGGTCTGCATCATCCCCATGGGATATACTGCCCTGATTGTATTTCATTCTAAACATTTTTGCTGGGTGCTATGTGCCTGTGTGTGTGTGGAACAAAGGGAAGGGAGTGAGTTGGAGGGAAGACAGGAGAGTGGCTCTGTCTTCCATCAAGTATATGGAATTCATATATGTATATGCCCTGCTGCACCTCTCCACTGTCCCTTACACGCTGGCGCATCTTCCCATGGGAATCCAGCTGCTTTGTATATTCTCAAAGGACAATAAAGCAACTGGAGTGAGGTTTGGAGAAGCCAAAAAAAATATGGCCGGATCATTATCCATCTTCTAAAGGTTGTATGACAAAGTTTATTAAGTTATCGTTACATCCTCTTATGGTGCCTAATATTTAGTGGTAGGTAAGCATTTCCTTTATGGTACCTGGCCAGTACCTATATTAGATTGTGTGTCTAATAGTTCTGATTTGTTTTTAATAAAACAGAAACCCCATCAATTTGTGATTTTTCATCCCTTTAAGACTAAAAGATACCCACAAGACTACCTCCGTTGGTACCAGATCCGGCTACTGGCAATCCGGCCCCACACATCTGCATGGAGAAAATGTCTGGGATCTTTGCTTGGGCCACCAGGGAATCAAAGAAGGTCTCGAGAGAGCTTGATGGCTGCAGAAAGGTTGGAAAGACTGTTACTGCTTTGTGACCACTGTGAAGACAAGCGTGTCCTGGTGTAATCAGCATCCTTCTCCCTTGGTATTCTTCGACTTTCTACTTAAGAATCTCCACGGTTAATCTACACACATGCTCGAAACCAGGTGAGATCACTCAGAAGTCTCCCACCTTGCTTCCTCCTGTCTGGCATTTGAGGTTCTATCACAAAAGTATGGCATCCCAGGGAGCTATTAGGATGCTGCCAAGCTGTTTATCACCATTTCAGTACAGGAGGTGTGTGAACCTGTGGTAGTACTGATCAGGGCTTAGATACTCTGGGTAAGAGAACACATTTACTCTAAGAGTACTATCTACCTCCAAAGCCATCCAACATACAAATAACCATTGGCCTACGAGGACCATGCATCCATATCCTAGCCCCTGGTACTCAAGCCATCATGGGCTTCAATAGTCAGGACACTCCCCACTGTAAGATTGCAGATTTCCTTTGCTCAGTGCCTCTACTACATGGAGCTACACGTTTTAAGGGCAATTCCATTTCACAAGAGTGTCCAAGGTGGAGAGGACGCTCTGTAAACAGCTTTGAGCTAGGAAAGACAAGCACTGTAGGTGCCATGCAGGAAGGTGGTTTAGACTTTGGCTTTACAACAGGGAGACACCAGGGCTGGCTACCATGAGTTGCCAGAGTTTTGGGTTTTGCTTTCATCTGGGACAGAGTTCCGCTATGCTGCCTAGGCTGCTCTTCAACTCAGCAATCCTCTTGCTTTGACCTTGAGGATAGCTGGGGCTACTGGCCATGCAGCACCATGCCCTGCTTGGGCTGTCAGTAAATATAATAATGTTCATCTGTGGCAGCTGAGTGCCCGTGGTCACTCTGAAGGAATAGCTGCTTACTAGCCACGAGAATTTGAAGCTCCGTTATGAATGAAATAGGACCCTTCTCACTTGTTCAGTCCATTTCTCTCTGGCTTCCTGCTCCTTCTGTCTCTGCTCCTATAGTCCTTCCCTGGGTTGGGTTTAGCACTATTCCCCCATGTGATCTCTGTATGGACTGAAAGACACCGTTCACCAAGGGGTGGGTGGGGTCTGGTAGAGACTCATCATGGTCCCCTTCCTGAGAGGCAGCAGAGGATGAATACCTGCTTCATGTTTGGCCAGTCCTTGGACTGGTCCTAACTAGCTGAACTAGGTCTTTGTTCCCTTATCTGGCAACTGTGACCATAGTTGCCTGTCAGGCCTATTCTGGGGTTTAAGATGACCAAGGTTTTTGTATCTAAAGAGCCTGATGTTACAAGATAGCTTATTACACTGTGTAAAGAAATGTCACTGTGATTGGTTTAATAAAAAGCTAAATGGCCAGTAGCTAGGCAGAAGGTACAGGCAGGACTTCCGGACAAAGAAAGCTCCCGAGAGCAGAAAGGGGAAGTGGCCTGCTGGACGCAGAGGAAGCAGAACATGCAGGGGGAGAGGTAAAATCTACGAGCTACATGACAGCACATAGACTAATAGAAATGGGTTAAATTTTAAGAGCTAGTTAGAAACAGGCCTAAGCTGAGGCTGAGCTTTCATAATTAACAAGAAGTCTCTGTCATTGTTGGCTGGTGGGACAGAGAAAGACTTGTGACCGCCTGACACATGCATAGCTCAGACATGGTTATATTCTATGAGTCATCTTTTCCTTAGGCCCTAGGCCTCAGAATCTCTCAAGGACTAAAAAAACAAATCTAGAGCTGTTCACAGCCAACCCTGAAGGATCTATATCTAAGGTGTGCAGTGGAGCCAGGCATTTGCAGCATAAGATGCCTCCTAGTGGTTCTGATGCATACATACCCTTTGGAGAATGACCAGGACACCCACAGTAGGATCACCACCCAGTCCTTGGCCAGCCACACTGTTTCAGGGGTAAGACACTTGACCTAGGCAACCTGGCTGATCCTTCTAGATGCAGCCTACTCCCTCCCTACAGAGACTACCTCTAGATTGATGGGGGAAGTCCTTCTGTGTATATGTTTGTCTGATTGGTTGATAAATAAAGCACTGTTGGCCAATAGGGAGGCAAGATAGGTGGGACTAGGAGTCGAGGAGGATTCTGGGAAATATAGTTAGGAGGACAGAGTCGCCATGTGATCCCGGGAGGAGAGGGCACATCAGGATGGTGTCCTCGGAAAGTTAAGTCCTTATAGAAATATATATTAGTAATTATAGGCTAATAATTAAGTCAGAGATAGCCATTAAGAAACCATAGCAAATGGCCAACAGCTTCATAATTAATATAGTGTCTCGTGTATTATTTGGGGGCAGAGACAGCAGTGGGACCCAGGCAGCTGGTGGGAAAGAATGCATGTTAAACTGGGTCCTTCAATGGCTAGCCTGAAACTAATCATCAGTAATCTTGGGATTTCATGGATAAAAAGATAAAAGGGTCATGTGGAGAGTCTGGATGCCTTCCCAGGAACCCCAAAGCAGTCTCTTCTCATGAAGGTTTTACACACCATTAATTCCATTTAATTTAGGATTGTTCTTCAGAATAATTTAGCATTAAAATCACCTCATCCTTCATTTCCAACCACTCAAAGATATGATTTGACCAAGGTCACACTGTCAGCAGAAGGGGACTTAGGAACCCAGGTCCCATGCCAGTCTTCACATCTATGAAGTCTATCCACAGTGCCAAGGACAAAGGGGCTCTTGAGACAGTCCTGGCTCTGCAACCAAGTGAGAGTGGCCTGGGGCTCATGTTTCAGTCAATGCTAAACCTCCTCATTGAAGCAACCACACGTGTAAATGGAACACAAGGCGATCACAGGGTCTGCCTCACTGGACACGAGCTGCGTGAATGGCTATCTTGTGATGTCCTCTGCCTGGGGTCTGACAGGCACTTGGTAACCCCAGTTTCTCCAGGAGACTTTAAGGGCTTGCAATTCCCCATTTGTTGCCCCCCCCCACACCATTGTTTACAGACTGGAGCTGAGAACATGTTCCATAGGGTGGGTGAACAATCTTTTCTGGATTCTCCTGTGGGTGCACACTAGTTTAGGCCTAAGCCACTGAGCCAGGGAGTGGTGGCCAGCACAGGTGACCCCTTCTGCTTTGCTGAAGTGCACAATACCTGCCTGTCTCCCAGATACATCCCTTCTGTGAATCCGCCTGCCTCTGGCAACTGCCCCAGGTAGATTCTCCCCAGCCTACCCTCCTCTAGCACACCAATATTTCTTGGGATTGATCCAAGCATGAGTACTGGATCTTGTCTTAGGAAGGCTCTGATTTTGTTAGCACAGCATTCCCCTATTTCCCTCTGGGCATTCCTGCAGGAGCTGGCTATTCATAGGGCACTTGGCCACATACCAGTTGATAATGTCTCCCCCAGACAGGAGTGACAGGACAGGAGCGCTCTCAGCCATGGGAGTGCACCTCTACCATTTTGAAGGTTTAGTGTCACTCAAATGCCTTGCCTTTATATGATCCTAAAAGATTAATTATATGTATGCTTCCCTTTAATGCCACCCTCATCAATATTTCTAAGCAAATTCTACAATCTACAGGACTTGCATTCTGCTAACATAAAAAGAAAAACCAGAAATTAAATAAACAAAATAGTAACACAACTGAGCTGGAACTATGGTTCAGTTGATAAAGGGCAGGAGCATGAGCCCCCGAGGTTGATTCCCCAGAACTCATGTAATAAGCCAGATCTAGTGGCACATGCCTATAATCCCAGCACTAGGGAGGTGGAGACAGGGTGTCCCTGGGGCTTGCTGACTAGTCAGCCTAACTTAATTGGAGAGTTTCAGGTTCACTGAAAGTCTAAAACAATAAGGTGAAGAGTAATTGAGGAAGATACCTAATACCAACCTCTGGTCTCCATTCATTTGTGTGATGCTCAGCCCCCAACACATATACACATGTACACACACACACACACACACACACACACACAGAGAGAGAGAGAGAGAGAGAGAGAGAGAGAGAGAGAGAGAGAGAGAGAGAGAGAGAGAGAAACAAAACAAAGAAACAACTAACATTATATCTTAAAGAAAGTTATGCAAACACACCTGGAAACTTCATCGTGTGAACACTTGTCTCATTAGTTAAGTGAGTATTAGCAGCTACCTGTGCTGGTCCCTTTAGTAATTAGTTTTCACAGCCTCATCACCCAGACACGTATGCCTTACCTTGGCCAAGGCAGCATAAGCAAGTCCGAGAATTCCATTCCACTTGATCCCAGGCAGAAAGAAATTCTCAGACTCAAAAATAGTGGCAATGTTGACCAGGAAGGAGCTGTTGAAGCCTTTGGGGATGGTGACGAGGTCCTCACCCACGACACCAGTCCAGCTTCCCTGCGTGTACTTCACAGTGACATCAAAGCCCTTGGGGTGGTATGTGATGGATCTGCAGAAGAAAAGAAAAGCTTGTGGTATTCTGTCTATAAGCCTGTGCTCTTTGAACCGCCCCCGGGGCATGATTTACAGTGGTCCTTTCACAGTCTACAGGAAGTGATGCCCAGTAGAAAGTGGTGCTCATGTTGACCAAGGCACCATTATTCACCAAGACATAAGCATGGGAAATTTGGCAACTGTTGCCATGCCACATGGAGAGGATGTCGTGAGGCTGGCATGTAACCCTGGAGTTTAATTCTTCTCCCATGCTTAAGTCAACTGCCCCCCCCCCCAGGTCAAGTGCTTCATGTAGCTAACCTCATTTTCTGAAGGACCCCAGATCTGGGCACACCCTGGGCCATCTGGCTTTGCAGGGTCACTGGGCTTGCACTCTGCAACACAGGAAGGGACTGTGTCATAGAGCAGGAGGCTCTATTAGCTTGTCTCACAGAATGGGATTGAGACTCATGGAACCCATGTGAAGTAACAGAGACCAAGCCCCATCCAAGCCCAGGATTTTCTGAATCCCCTAATCTCACAGCCCTTCCCCAATGCCTCAAAGCTGATACTGCTATCACAATACAGTCAACAAAACTGATGGCATGCTGTGGTGTGCCCTAGAACCTTGCCTGTGTGTAGCCCCGGGGGTAAGGGGTACTGAGACAGAATCACAGTAGCACAGTCAAGGCAATGGAGAGGTAGGTGGCAGTGCTCCCTCTCCAGGTGTCCTGTGAGGAGAGACCGTATGTGAGGACATGAAATATCAGGCCACAGTGAGTGAATCCGAACAGCCTGGGAATAAGGCAGAGTGAGGGCTGAGCAAGGAACTTGGTGGTGGAGGGGATCTTTGATAGGTGGCCGCCTGCTGGAGACCTCAGTGGAGATAAAGGACTAAAAGGCTGTTTGAGAGAGGACACTTGTGCCAGGCTCTGGAATCTCTAACCATGAAAGGTCATTCTTACACTGTATTAGTCTGAAAATTCTGTGGGAATTTTCAAGGAAGACAGTGAGCATTCAAACCAGGTTCCCTGAAGAAAACCACCAAATTCCTAATGGAGTGTCAAATCCCCCGTGTGTATTTCCCAAGACTCCTGTTTGCCCACAGTCCTATTCCACTGAGTTTTAACATTAACTCTGCAACAGAACCTCAAGTACACATGTCTCTGTTTTCGGCACAAATACCTTTTGTAATCAAGGAAAGAATGTGATAAGAGAGAGATGAAGTGAACACTGTGTGTACAAGCGCGACCGTTAATCTTCACTGTCGATAGGGCCAGGCTTGGAATCGCCTAGGAGACACAGCTCCATCTGTGAGGGCTTTTCTAAAGAGGTGTGACTGAGGCTGGAAAACCCACTCCAAATGTGGGTGGTGCTACCCCACGGGCTGGGGATCCCAGAGAATAAAACAGATTAATAGAGAAAGATGAACACATGCATTCACGTCTCTCTGCTTCCCGCCTACAGTTGCGATGCGACCAGCTGCCTCATGTTCCTGCTACCCTGGCTTCCCTACCATATGATGGTGGCTGTCAACTGTCAACTTGACAGATCTAGAAACACACGTGGGAGGCGGACCCCTCTGCCTGCCTGTAGGTGGGTTGATTACTTTGATTAAGCAGAGGTGGGAAGACACACCCATTGTGGGTGGGGCCAGTCCTTGAACAGGGGGATCCTGGATAGTACAAATTGAGAAGGTGAAACAAACACACATATTGCTCCCTTTCTGACTGTGGATAGGATGTGACCAGTTACTTCAAGCTCCTACTGTAAAGCAGACTGTATCCTCACATTGTGAGAGAAAAATAAATCTTCCTTCTTTTTTTTTAAAATCATAATTGACTCTTTAATTAAAAAAATTATAGGGAAAATTTCCAGCATATTTTATAAAAGTACTACTATAACAAACATCTTATATCAATTAATTTCAATGAATCAATGCCCCCCTTTTTCTTTTAAGGTACTATTTCAAACTCATGGGGCATGTGTCCTTAAAATAGAAAAGTTTCATCATTTAGTCAAATGTCAACATTGAGATTTTTGAGAATTTCATTGCTTTGTGGATGGGCAAGACGCCACCAGTACATTTTAGGTAAATAAAATTCTTCATTAAAAAAATAACAACTATGAGGTCATTTATGTTTAAAACTTTCAGGGTAATTCACAAAAAATAGATATATAGACTGAAGCACTGGCCATCTAGCTATGGACATTTAAAGGTGTAGCAGCTATTTAAAAAAATGACACACAGTGGTTCTCCTTGGCACACTACACATAACTGAAATGAGTAAAACTGAAAGACCAACATTGTTATGCTAGGCTCTGTTAGAATCTTAAAAAAAAAATCACATGCCTAGCTTAGTAGTCCATTTGTGCTTGAAATATTCCTCTGCATGAGAAACTTAAAGAAAAGACATCTTCACATGATCATCAAAAGAAAGTTACACATTTTTTTTTGAAACTGCACTGTTATTTAAACCGCGTTTCTAAAGTCAGAGCCTCCTTTGCAGCTGGCACAGAGTTTCGGGTCTAATTAGCAACTCGGGGAGGCCCCTCTGGTATGAATGCAGCAAAGAAAGGTGGTGGTGATAAAAGACCAAGCTGAAGCTACTAACGCGGCCTTTGAACTGCAACTGCCACAATACAATCACCCACGTCTTCTCCACACTCATCTTCAAGTCCATCATCTACAAGGGGCTTTGCTTCTTCAAATTCTAGTTTCGTTCACATTCTGTCCACCATTGTTAACTTCAGCACTGTTGGGAGCCTCTTACTGACCTTCTTCCCTTAAAGGGAAACCATCCAGCCTGGTGTAAATGGGCCAGCAGCATGGCTCCATCACCATGACACACCGACTAAAGGAAGAATTGGAGTACACGGTGTGCTGAGAACTGCAGTTTGCACCCAGTCTAGCCAGTAGTGGTCGAAGTCTTCTTAACTCTTTCCTTCTTTTAGTACTGCCAGGCATTTTTGTCGTGGCCATGAGAAAGCTAATACAAACCTCCCAAGAATGGGCAGACAGGGAAAGAAAAATGGTCATAGACAGGCCCCCTGGTACTCCGGTAACACCCTAGTAGTAGCCTGTGTGGTGTTCTCAGTCAAGGCCTTTGGGACTTGAGTTTTTGAGGACAGATCCAATGGCAAGTTTGGTGTTGATGCAAGCTCAGGCACACAGGAGGAAAGAAACAACGTCTATAGTGGAAGGCTGAGATCTTAAATCATTTGACAAACAGGTCAAGTTCAGAAATGCTGGCAGAATGACTTAGCGCAGGAGTCACCACACCTTTTCTATGAGGGGTCTACAAAGGCATGCCCTCAGATTTGCTTCACCTTATAACCACTGGAGCAGGTAACGAGATGTGATGCTGTGGTGTCAAGGGAATGGCCACAGACTATACAGAAGCAAATGCGTGTGGCTGTGCCCCATTAAAACTTTATTCATAAAACCAGCATCCAGTTCGATTTGGCCCACTATCTACAACCGTGGACCCTTTGAGCTAACTAGCAGATCAGCTGTCTTCCCCCATCACTTCCCCAAGCTGGGCTTTTGAATGACGTTTTATTTTCATCTCGTCTAGGCTTCAGCAGGTGCCTTAGAATAAGAAACTGAGCCGGCACCAATACCACAGGACATGGTATTTGGGTTTCCTGCTTCTGCCTTACATGGATCGTTCTGGGTAGTACCATGCCATTTGCAGAGAATGAAAAGGCAGTAGAAATTACAGCACCACACCCCACATACAAGCTCACTCACTCACTAGCTGTGTTATTCTGGTACAAGCTATTGAACTGCGTGCTTCAGTTCCCTAATATTCCAGGATAAGCCAGGACTGTACCTCCTGAGACTACTTGTGCAGACTGGAAAGGTTAATCTGTGACAAAATTAGAACAATATCCTGGCTCCCAGCCAGTCTGCAACAAAACAGCCACAATTAGTGTAATTATCAAAGGGCTTCCTAGGTTTCTCCAATCTACAAGCTACCATAAGAAAACTCAAGGCTGTTCTAGAAAATACACCCATAGGATGATACCACTGAGTACCCTGAACTTAAAGTCTGACTGCCTCTTAAAAGGGGGGTTAACCATTCCTGATGTGGATAACTTGACTGTGGAGGAAGAGGCAGAAGGTGTTGTTTCAGGCCCCTGGTCAACGGGTTTCTAAATGGTCCAGTGCTGTGATCTGGACCAGCAATGTCCACCAGAACCTGCTCTGATGACGGTGCTGCTCCACGTCTCTCTCGCCCATTACGGAAGCCACACGCAGCTACTGGAATGTGATGGTGCCAGAATGCTGAACTTTTATTTCCTTTCATTTAGCACTAATTAATTTAAACAGCTCCACATGATCAGTGGCCACCCCTGTAGAAAACATTTTCAGAGAGGATGTAGGAAAACTCTAATTGTAAGTTCGCCCTCTTTGGGGGCTCCTTTACCAAGTCTGAAAGAATAAGGGGAAGCCAGGGAAGCATCTTGAGCAGCCCTGCGGGTTATTAGCATATCACCTCCAGCACCTCACTTCAAAGTGATCTCCTCATCTTTGCTAACATCCTACTTTTCTGATGGTTTCTGCTCTCACTTGCTTTTCACATCAATCGCATCAAGAGAAAAACCTGGATGGGCTTCTCACTTGCAAGGCCTCCATTCCAGATGCTCAGGCATGGCAAACAGTCAGGAATGTGGGTGGCCGGGAATGAGTCTGCTCACAGCAATAAAAACACTTTGAACAAGATTTGGAAGGCATTCTGCCTCTGATCATAGAGTTCAGGGAAAGCAGGACTAAAAGAAAGATCAGTTGAAGCCAAAAACGGAAATTCAGGCCATCTTGTTTCAAGATAAAGCCACCATTGTTTCTAGAGAACACAGAGAGGCGGAGTTGCTGAATTCAAAGGCGAGTCCCTGGGTCAGCTCTGGTTCTACCAAGTCACCCCACCCAGTGAATGCCGAGGCTCCTACAGACTTCTTCACAAGGCTTCTGTGCACACTGCAGAATTTGGCATTGGTGGGCTTGGTGGTTTGGACCTTGTGAACAGAGCTGAATGGATGGGAACATTGAGCCTGACCTGGTGGTTCAAGCTCTCAGGCTCCAAAGAAGCCAGCTCCTGATGGACAGGTCAACCACAGACAGTCTTGAAAAGTTATCCGAGCAACCAACTGCATGAAACTGTCACCTACTGCACGGAAAGACATCTGTGGGTCCCTCTGATCTCTTTAAAGACATCACAAGGTGGCCCTTTGGTTCCCTAATCTCACTTATAGGCATCCTTGAATCAAATGACTCAGTTCATTGCTTCAGTGTTTCTGCGGGTTTTGTCCCAGATGGAGTGCGGCAGTGAGGCAACATTGATGGATAAGCATGCTTAGGCTCCTGAATGACAGTCGGTTAAGTGAGGTACATATCCGATCTTTCTCCAAACCAGATTGATGGAGGCCATTTTATTGGCTGAAGAGAAAATGCATTTGAAAAAAAAAGTGTAGCCCTTTTCCCTCTTGCTGCATAGTTATAGAGCAGGGTATTCAGCAACTGCAAAGAGGGCTCATGATGGGGACAAGTCACACAAGTGACTCACAGTGGCTGATCACCTTCCATAAATCAAAGAGATCTTCTCAAAGAACCCTGAGCCCAATCTCCAATTACTGCACAATGCTTCAGGAAGTACAAAACCTGAACATCTGAAAGGCTGGGGGCTTGAATCAGAGGCTTCCATGCCCAACCAGAAGCCTTATTATAACAAAGAAACCAGAGGGCCAAGTCGATACTCAAACATTGCAGGGCAGGGGCCCACATCTCCACAAAGGCACCTTTGTCAGAGATCCAGAAGGAAAGAGACTGTTGCCTGGCTTCCATCAGATACAGCGGTTGAAAAAGGTTGAAAAACCTCACCGCGGCCAACATCAGCAAAAGCACTAGACAAACGATCATTTACATGGAGAGCAAATATTCTTTATAATAATTATGTCTCCGTTGACTCTCAGCACAAACAAGCTTCCTCCAATCTCAACAGTCCTCGCTGAGGAGAAGGCAGAAATGGCAAAGACGAGCAGAGGGACGTCTTGCTTTTCCTGGACCTGGGCGTGCTCTGCCGTTCCCCTTTTATTTACTTAAAAGCAGGGGAAATAGATCTGAGGTGGCAGGGCTGAGGGGATGTCTCTGTTCTTTTGTGGGCTTCGCAGGAAGGAAGGCTGAAGGGTCACAGCAACAGTGGAAAGCCCAGGAGTTCCTATCGACTCAGATGAAGGTAGGCCTGAGAAGACTAGCTTGCTGCACGGGATAAAGGAGAATTTCGGCCCACCTCCCATGCACCTGGCTAGGGACACAAAGTCCACCTGAAGGAGGAATGCAAAAGGAGAGAGAGAGAGCGAGAGAGAGAGAGAGAGAGAGAGAGAGAGAGAGAGAGAGAGAGAGAGAGAGAGAGAGAGAGAGAGAGAGAGAGAGAAAGACAGAGACAGAGACAGAGACAGAGACAGAGACAGAGAGACAAAGACAGAGAAACAGAGAGAGAGGAGAGGGAGAGAGAGATAGATGAGAGAGAGAGAAGAGAGAGAGAAACAGAGAGAGAGAGAGCGCGCAACCTATTGGAGCCTGAGAACCAGGGTTCATCCTAACAACAAGCACAGCAGGAGGTCCGTGAGAAAGCTGCCATGCTGTCTAATGTTGACTAATTAACACCGAGTGGTAGAGAACACAGCATCAGCAGCAGTGGACTTTTATTTGCCCTGGCACATTTCAAGAACCACATGGTCTTGTCAAAGGACACCTGGGTGCACTTTGGCCCTGACGGAGCTGAGAATGAAGCCGCCAGATAGTTGCCTCCTGGCTGGACATTGCTTTTACAGTGCACCATATGCAGCTACCCTGTCCACATCAACCTGACTCACGCCAGCCCCGGCCTTACAGCTCCCTTCCCGTGGATCTTACACCAGCAGACGTGAGATAAGGGAAGAATTACCCCACTGCTGGGAGGGTGGGCCATTCACCTGCTTCATATTTGTGGCCTGGGACTTCCTGGTCTGCAAGGGGGAATGGATCTTGGAAGGGAAGGTGCTGCCCTGTTATGGGCTACTGTTACATCAGTGCCAAGAATGGTACAATCCTAGAAGAGGCAGGACATCTCTTAAAAAGTCCAGAATTGGCCGGGCGTTTGTGGCGCACGCCTTTAATCCCAGCAGAGGCAGGCCAATAGGCCACCTCTATAAGGTGTGTGTGTGTGTGTGTGTGTGTGTGTGTGTGTGTGTGTGTGTGTGTGTGTGTGTGTGTGTGTGTGTGTGTGTGTCAGAGGCAGGCGGATCTCTGTTGAGTTCGAGGCCAGCCTGGTCTACAGAGTCAATTTCAGGACAGCCTCCAAAACAATATAGAGAAACCCTGTCTTGAAAAAAAAAGTCCAGAACCATCCACCTGCCACAGAGCTTCATCAAGCTCCCAATATGCATGTGGGTGGGAAGCTATTTGTATGAGCCCCAGGGGGAACCTCCCTTTCTCATTCACCCTAAGTATCATGGGCAGAGTTAACATTCCTCACAGCATTAACTAATGCATGAATGGAAGGCAGTTGACACTGTAGTTTTCAGCTCATGAGGATTCTTTCTTCATTTTAGAAAATCCCATCAACTGCCCAAGATGACCAGGCATCTGGTCTAAGCCAGTTGCCCAAATGGCCTACACTGGGTCCGGGTCTCATTGGGCCCACATTCACACTGGTGTGCAGCCTCCAGCATCCTCTGTATGTGTGCCTCTCATTGGACATGCTCGTATGATGTCCTGAGTACTTTATTCACGCCACCTCATTCCTGACCCTCAGGCTCGGTGGAGTGGGCCCGCCCAATACTTGAGACTGGAAGTATTTAGTATTTCAAATTAAGTTTTCCTGAAATGTTTGTCTATACATAATGAGATACCTGGGGAAGGGGACCCACACCTAAATGAAAACTTCATTTCTCTCTCTGTCTCTGTCTCTGTCTCTGTCTCTGTCTCCCTCCCTCCCTCCCTCCCTCCCTCCCTCCCTCCCTCCCTCCCTCCCTCCCTCTCTCTCTCTCTCTCTCTCTCTCTCACACACACACACACACACACACACACACACACACACACACACACACACGTAGGAGGAAACAGCACTCCACCACTAGCCATGTGACTTATTAGAGGCGCTTACAGATGAGGTAATAAAAGGGCAGTTTACCGCACTGCTAACCACATGCTAAAGACATATAAGGACGTAGGCAATGAACTACATCACTAGCCAGGCCCACTTTTGGGCATGGCTAGGGGCATGTACGGAGAAAGGAATAAAAGACTGAGCAGCAGAACATCTCGCCCTCTTTCCGGCTTCCAGTTCGGCGTCGGAAAAATACTCGGCTCATCTGGGTTGCTTGTTTTTCTCTTGTGAGTAATTTCTACAATAAATACTTATACTCAATAAGTGTGCCGTTTATCATTGTAGCATCACACACACATACACACACCTCACAAACGTGGTCTGCAGGTCACTGTATACAGTAGTTTTGGTACATTTGTGTCACACACACACACACCTTACAGAGGTGGCCTGCAGGACACTGTATTCAGTAGTTTTGGTACATTTGGGTCACACACACACACACCCCTTACAAAGGTGGTCTGAAGGTCACCGTATACAGTAGTTTTGGTACATGTGTGTTGTGACTGGCCTGGGGTCAGTAGTGGAACCCGCTACTTGCAGGATCATGTGGCTACTCAAAGCATTTCAGGTTTGGGAGTATTTTCAGGTCTTTGGATCAAATACGTAACACCTGCCCTAAGCTCAGACTCGTAAGACTTATGTATGTGATAGTTATAAGGTCTTTGATGTCATGTAGGAGCATTATGAGGTATTTGTTGCAAGGTGTCAGTTGCAAGGCCTAGGACCTGGAAGCTGGAATTCAGGAAGATTCCTCGTTCCTTCATCTCCTAGGCTACAGGGTTAAAAATGAGAGGTCTGTCCTGCTCCGGGGCAGCAGTCCAGAGGGTATGATGGGAGTGGGTGGGGGGCTGTATAGGCACAGAGTCCTGGGTGAACCACCAGTGTGACCAGGACAAAACAGCAAAACCTCCAGATCCCAACCAGCTGGCACACACATAACCCAGCCCCACTGGCACACACACACAGAAACTCCACCCACTCCACATACATGCTCACAGTATAACAATAACTTTTGGGCCTGTCTTCAGTCCAAAATAATCACTGGCCAGGTGTTGTGCCTGAGTATCAATTTGATGTTTTATCGCTATGTGGAGTCATATAGAGGCTCTATGTTTCTTGAGGGAGGGACCGGCACTATTGTACTGAGGTGCTGTGACACGCCACCAGGCACACAGGTTGTCACTGCCCTCTCCAGCTGTGCAAACAGGAGATCCTGACATTCCTGGCACCTGAATGGAGCCTGATATGCTATGGGTGGGACACATGTGGGTGGGCTCACTCTGCAACTACTTTCCCACACTGTAAAATGCAGCTCTTGTGTAACCAAGGAACATATTACAGTTGAAATTCCACAAGGCAAATTTCCCCAAGGCTATCAGGGGAACCTGATATAGATTCCCTGGGAGAAGAAATACACATATGGTATGCATTCATTTACACATATGTGCACACATGTGCATGCCCATAAACACATGTACAAATATACAAATGTGCAACCATGTACACAGGTCCCTTGAAATGACATAGAATTATCTTCTGGCTGTTTTGTTCTAATACATTCTCAAAGATGCAATCCAGGACACACCCCCCAAGGTCAGCCACTGAAGCTGAGGACAAGCCACTCACCTCTCTGAGTCAAAGTAGGAGTCTATGTAGGAATGTGGGGCACCCGCCACCGCGAAGTTACTGCTTCCAGTGTCCACAAGAATCTGTAGCTTTTGTTTTTTAAGGAGAAAAGAAATGGGAAGTTTCAAGTTATTTGAAGACATACCAAGCACAACCATTTATTGACTGGCAAAAACCAATCTCTCCACTGATTGAGGGAGAAATGTTAGAAAATGACATATAAAATTATATGAAAAACCCAACACAGCTCAGGAGGACGCTGCCACAGCAGAGCCAAGTGGAATTTGCCTCAGATACACAGGAGCCTTCCAAACAGGTCTGTTAAACAAATGGTGGCGGGATTTCAAGTCGCTAATACTTGCTAACACAGCCAATTCCTTAGTCTCTCATGGGATTTTTCTCAGGTTCATCCCTGGTGGGGAAATACTTGGAGAACTATTTCTTGGAGTTTCAGATACACCATGGTCTCTGTTCCCCAGGGACCCGCCTCACTATTGGCTTTTCCTCCATCATCTCTCTGCCGAATCCCCGAAGACACTCATCGCAGTATCTCCTTACTCGAATCTATTTTCATTTCACGGTTGCTTTGCCTGCATGTGTGTAAATGTGCCATGTGTGTGCCTACTGCCTGTGGAGCTGAGAGGAGGGTGTCAGAGGTCCTGGAACTGGAGTTACAGATGGTTGGGAACTGAACCTGGGTTCTCTGCTTTGACTCCAGCAAACAGGTATCTCTTTTTTTAACTTTAGTAAAGTCTAATTTTGGGGTAATGAAAGAGGCAGTGGTGGTGGATGGTGAGTTGGAAGCTAGCCTGGGCTACACAGTGAGACCCTGTCTCTAACAAACAAAATCTCAAGCCAAAGGTCTAACAGTGAGCTTGGGCAGTATCTACACCCAAGATAAGACATCCCTAAAACCCTGGTTATCCCTACATGCCCCTTATGTTCTCTTTGCCCTCTTCCTTGGGAGACGCCACTCTCTGTCTTCTATTGGAACAGGTAGGTTTCATCTGTTCTTCAACATTCTGTAGCCACATGATTTTCTTCTATTTTTGGCTCAGTTGCTCTTGAGATTCATACAGGCTGTGGACTATCCTCTCTCTTCTTTCCACCACCAGGCTGCGGTCCATCACTTGCCTCTGCTTCTCCTGATGGGCAGTTGGGGTACCTCTACCTTCAGGCTATTAGACAAAGGCTGCCTGGACATTCCTGTCTTTTTTGTGGATGTTTCTGTTTCTCTTGGGAATGGAACCTCTGGGTCAAAGGTAGATATGCCTTTAAGTAAAACGTCATGGGAATAGTTCCCAAGTCTAGATGCAGGAACTGTACCCCCATGGCAATAATCCACTGGGTTCATGTGCTCTGTGTCCCCCGTAAAAGTCGGTGGTGGTCCTGGTCTTTTTTTTGTTTGTTTGTTTGTTTCAGCCATCTAGTGGGTGTGGGATGCTATTTAATTTGCAGTTACCTGGTGGCTAATGACACTAAGCTGTTGCCCTGTTAAGTTCATTGTTTGACTCATCTGTCCAGTAAGCACGGGTCCCCAGGGGGTGGAGTATATTATTCACCCTTTCACAGCTAGCATCTGTCCTCAGTCCAGACATAGGCCAGCTGTTTAATGATTAAACACAGACTTTAGAAACAAGCACAGAATAAGCAGTTCAAGTCTTAAAGGTTTGAACACTGGAGTTAAACAAACGACAGACAATGCTATTAGGCAGGTGAGGGTTTTTGTTGTTGTTGTTGTTTGTTTGTTTTCATTTGTTTTAGCTTTTTGAGACAGGGTTTCTCTGTTGGTCTGTCCTGGCACGTGCTCCGTAGACCAGTCTGGCCTCGAACTTACATAGATCCACCTGTGTCTGCCTCCCAAGTGCTGGGATTAAAGGCGTGTGCCACCACCGCCTTACCAGGCTGGTGAGTTTTTAATCCAAGACCACTCATCAACAATTTTACTTCTGCCAGAACTCTCAGCTTGGCCAGGCCCAGAACCTTCTCTCTCTCACTGGATGCCACCCGTGCTGGATTTTCCTCCTACTGTCACTCTCTCTTCTTCACTGTCTGGCATTCTTCCAAGTCCCCTGGCAATGGCCCTCAGGGACCCTGCAGAATTGTCACCTGCTTGTAGTGTGCTGATGACCCCAGGCTTACCTGCCCCTGGACTTGGGGTTTACCCGTCCAACATATCTACCTGGACTTCTCTCAGCCACTGACTGCTATTAGGTCTAAATTCCCCCGTCCCTATGAGAAGAACAATGTTTATAAATGGATCAGAGGTGATCAAATTAAGAGGAAATCATTAAGTAGGGCCCTAATGCAGCCTGACTGGCATTCCCTGTGAGAGGAAAACTCTCATAAAGGCAGTGCACAGGGGATGCCATGTGATGGCAGAGGCAGAGTAGTCCAGGGACTGGAAGAGGCAAGGCAGATCTATCCATAGCCTCAGAGGGAGTGGCTATACCAGGATCCTGTGTATTTGTGTGACATCACACTGCTTCTCCTAAGACGTGTTGTTGACACCTTCTCAATGATGTGGCTCTGACCCCTTTGAGCTTCCATCCCTGTCCCTGTAAGCACCACCCTCTTCCTTTTCCTCATTCCTGCTCCTGCGGGACTACAGATCACGTCTACCCTGATAGCTATGGAAAGATGTTCTATCATATCCACTGCACTACAATAACATGCTCGCCCTCTGAGGAGTGTGCCCATCCTCACCCTCATTTACAGAGAGGCTGACCTTCTCAGTTATCTGAGGGTAGAGGCAGAATCAACGTTAGAGTCCAGCCAGTGTGACCCCAAATGTACTCTTAGCCAACCAGCTTCTCTAGCTCCGTGACTCACTACGTCCTGACACTCTCGTTGGCCTTTCATCTCAGGGCTTTCTCTCAATGGCAAGGACTTTTGACATTTCCTCCCATTATGTTTCCAACGCACAGAAAAGAGCCAGGCACAAAGTAGTCACTTGAAGAGTCACCGGACGGACAGTTAAATTATTCTCAATAAAAGATGCTAACTTTGCCCTTGCTGACAGAGACTGAGAAAAATAAGCACACAGGCAGGCCATGGGAATAATCTAAGCATAGAAAGCTGTTGTGCTCGAACTCTGCAGGGATGGTTTGGGGCTGCTGACTTCTTTCTCTCACCTCTCTATAGAGTTGTTTGGATTGATTTCGGATAGAAAAGAATAGGAAATAGGTAGGTGCACATGGAATCCAATTCAAGCCAGAACTTGAAGTTCACCAGCCCCAAGTTCTGAAGCTAAGATATGGATTATATCGGAGTGCCTCATAAACACACAGCGGTCACCAAATAAATACCCATTTATAGCCAGTCCTTGGCATCTGAGGAACTTGGTTCAAGGACCCTCTGTAGATATGAAAAAGCCACCAAGACTCAAATCCTGACATAAAATGCTGTGCAACTGGCCTGGGACCTACACACACCTTCCCATATACTTTATTTACATTTATTTATTTATTTAAAAACAGGATCTCACCTTGTAGCCCCGACTGTCCTAGAAGTCACTCACTATGTAAACCAGGTTGGTCTCAGACTCACAGAAATCCACCTGCCTCTGGCTCCTGAATGCTGAGATAAAAGGCATCCACCACCACACCTGGCCTCAAATACTTCAAATGACCTCTGGCTTATTTGAAGTATCTAGCACAGTATAAGTTCTATGAAAATAAGTATGCTGTTTATGGAGTAATGACAAGAAGTCTGTGTGTGATCAACCCAAACAAAATTTGTGTGTGTACATGCATATATATGTGAACATGTGTGTACATGTGTGTATGTATATAAACACGTATACATACATAGTGTGTGTGTGTGTGTGTGTGTGTGTGTGTGTGTGTGTGTGTGTGTGTGTGTGTAGACCAGAGGTTGATCTTTTGTGCCTTCCTCAACTGTTTTCTGCTTTAGTTTTCGAGACAGGGTCTCTCACTGAACCTGGAGTGCCTTGATTCAGCTAGGCTGGCTGAGTAATCAGTTCCAGGAATTGCCTGTTTCCACTACCCACCTTCTAAGGGCTGAAGTTATAAATGTGCACTACTGTGCCCAGATTTTGATGTGGGTGTGACAGATCCAAACTTAGGTCCTCATGTCTGCATGGGACTTTATCAACCTAGCCATTTCCTTAGCTAGCATTAAAAAAAAAGTGTGTGTGCACACATGTGTGCACGAGTGTGTGTGTGTGTATGCACACATGCATGTAGGTACCCATATGGTGTTGGATCCCCTGGAGCTGTTGTGAGCTACCTGAAATGGGTGCTAGGAACCAAATTTAGGTCCTTGGGATGAGCAGTGAGCACTCTTAACCTCAAAGCCAGTAGTATATCATGCCATATAGTTTGTGTGTGTGTGTGTGTGTGTGTGTGTGTGTGTGTGTGTGTATACATACACTTTGTGTTGGTTTGAATAGGAATGGCCCCTGTAAGTTCATAGATTTGAATGATTGTTTATTAGGGAGTGATGCTAATTGACAGGGATTAGGAGGCATAGCCTTGTTGGACTGATTGTAACCTTGTTGGAGGAAGTGGAGGTGGACTTTGGGGTTTCAAATGCTCAAGCCAGGCCTAGTATCTCTTTCTCTCACTACCTGCTGCCTGTAGATCCAGATGCAGACCTCTCAGCTACTCTCCAGAACCACGTCTGCCTGCATGCTTTCTTCCATGATGACAATGGACTAAACCTCTGAACTATAAGCCAGCACTAATTAAATGTTTTCTTCTATAAGAGTTGCTGTGGTCTTGTGTCTCTTCACTGACTAAGACACACTTCCTTGTGAGGTTTGCTTCTCTTCTCCCATCATGTGGGTACCAGAGATTGGATTCTGGTTGTCGTGCTTGGTGACAGGAACTGTTACCATTGCTGCGGAGTCATCTTGCTGGCTCAGGAGTTTGCTTTTGAGAGCTGTATTTCCCACAGTGTCCGAGGCATCCTACAAGGAAGTAAGTTCATCACCTCCTGACAGCTCTGGGTCCAAACTCTGTTCACCCAACTCTGTGCTGTGACCTGAGATCCTCTCAGGGGAGATCAGCCTGTACCCTAGGATGGGGCCATTTTCTGCAGGCACGTCCACATTCCCAGATGCCTC